TGGGAATGCCTCCATCGGCTGAACTTGCAGGTCCGCTTGGCCTCGAGTTAATTCCACCATCGTGTCTGATAAAGATCACTTGTTGCTTGAAAACGGTGAGAGGTCACATATATCAGGGAAGTCTTGCGTGACAGTACGTTTACCTCTTTCTCTTTCACAAATGAGAGGACGGCTGGGGAGGGGAGACATATCCGCGTAGTGGCCGAACAAACACCAATAAGGAAGCAATTCCAAACGGACGGCTTGCCCCACCAGAGACTGCAGGTCGTCGCCATGGGTACCCACTTCGGGGACCAACGAAGAATTCGCAGCTGCAGCTCAAACCTCCCTTCCACTTCGTAAGGTCTTTACTAACAAGGCTGGTTATTGGCAGCTGAACATAAAGATGGGTCCAGTGACCGAACAGGCACTTCATCCCTGTTCTGTATACGCCACACGCTTCCATTTTCCACTCCACAACCAATGAAAATCAGTCTACGACAACGGGTCTCCTGATTGGTGCAAAACCTTACCACGGTCAATTTTGGAAATACGCCAGTTGACTTTTACGGTATACAGTCGCGAAGTAAAGTAAGCAACAGCGTCGTTGCAAATGCTGCGGTATTTAAAAGTCACAAACACAGACACACACAATCGGAACAGCTCAGTGCGTTGGGAAGTGCCTTTGTACAGTCCGTACCTTCATTATAGTATAAGTCACACACGTGAGGGGATAGGCTGTGTAGTCGGCCACTTTGAAAATGTCCATTCCCCACTGATCAAGTTCGGTTTCGAGAAGCTGAAATTGCAAAATAGGCAGAATTTAATAGACTGGCAGTAATAATACGTTAAAGCCCTAGTTACATTTGCTTCTAGGATACAAACGGCCCAATCCTCCTATAAGAAAATAGTTTTTACCTCGCAGCTATTAGAACGATTTCGGCTAGAGCCGCTAAAATAGTTACTTAGGAATAGGTTGTAATGGACACTAAAAATAGGGCCTAAAATGTGTGGATACAATGCTTTTCTTTCTTGTGTAAAGCCGAAGGAAATAAATGCGTTATCTTGGAGTAAATCCCTCAGAAGAGACCCTTTCGGGCTCATTTCGAACGTTGATAAGAATATTTAAGGTTCAACCCATCACTGTAGTCATTATGGAAGATTCTGGATGATTGCTCAGGAAATCCTGCCTGAGCAGTCAGCCTACTGTTCCATAAGGGTGTACTCCATATGAGCAGTAAGTTGGGCGGGTAAAATCGATCCAAGTGTGATTATATTCACGGCGCACGGTGAGCCTTGTAGCTGAATGGTAGAACGTTGGCTGTACAAAAGCCTTCGCTGCTGTGTGAGTTCGACTCCAACTGAGGCTGTGAATTTTTCACGATTGGGTCAAGTAAATTAAGCAAACCTGTCAAAACCCACTAACAATATTGTGCACTGCCCGCAGTAGGCACCCATTAGTATGCACCAGTAATTATTAACCCTGTTGACAGTACAGGTACTAGGCAAAAGCCCAGACATGCGTGTTACGCCGATCTCGTACTGCCGCGGCCTGATACAGCTGTGGAGCGTTCAGCTCATTACAATGGTAACTAATTACGCATTGTATACTACTCCCTACTGGTGAATAGTTTGT